GGTGAGCGATGTATCAACTTAGACAACTCCTTTACATTGTGTCCATCCTGGAGAGACACAAGGCTTAGAGTGCCCGACGTGAAATCGCACCAAAGACGACCTGTGTTTTGCAACGCATCTCTTATCACTATGTAAATACTTCTACTAGCTTTTCATATATACAATAATTTAGTAGAATCCGTGCAATTGCAAGAAATAACTAAAGTGTTGGCAGTGCATAACACAATGTATTAACTCAAAATATTTACCTCTTATCGTTTAAGCTTTCGATGAACGACTTCACTTCATCACATGATGGCCGCTGATCAGGCTCTTCACTCCAACAGTCCTTCACTAACGCTGACATACTTGAGTTCTGTTCGTCGTCCGTAATTAGCAGTGGCCTAATTGGCGACCGACCACCCCGCTTCAGTTTATACACTAATTCTGAAATCTTGAAAATATTCTGATATCTCACGAATTCTACGAATTTCTTTGAATCAGTGACAATTTGAGATAGAAACCCAGTGCACCAAAGCAACAAGAACTACTGATGTCCATAATATATAGTCTTCCCAATGCTTATAGACTTTGTTCTCGTCAACTATTGAAGTTTGTTTACTGTCACAAGCTCATCGAAGCTTTTCCAGTTAGAAAGCCAAAATGATTGGAGTCTGATATTGAGATACAGCTTCTGCAAAAGCAGCAAAAAGAACCATTTACTAGACTACTCGGATCTCTTCAATAGCCGCGTCTTCGTGCCTTTTCAGTAAATAAAGTAACATGGATTTGACGACGCATAGGTTTTTATTTTCAAAATCTGAAATGCTATATTTTTAATGAAAAATTGGTTATCATCGAATCGGGCAGGCTATGTCCTGAAGACCTGAGGGTCCTCCCGATAGTTCCCATCAAAACAGTGGATTTGACTTTTACACGCCACCTGTCGCGAAGCTCCGGTTTAGTGAAAATGCAGTAAGAATGCGTTATTGTTTAAAAAGAGACTAAGCCATGACTTCGTCTACTACCGCTCAATCTGCTTATTTTCCGTGCTTTATAAACTTTTCACTCGTGTCGTTATTCACAGTATATGAGTAACAAAGGAGAATTCTACGAACAAGCAGAGTTTTGGAAGTATTTCTGCACTATAGACTACGACATACTATTGGCAAAAATTTTTTTTTCTTGATATGGCAATCGTTAAAGTAACTGAGAGGCGATAGAAGGCGAAAAACCATCAACCAACATTTTCAATCAAATTTTTAGAGGGTTTCATGTTTTGCATCCGATTAAACTCGTTTATTTACATCTGACAATGATTTTGCACAACTTTACGACCATCAATGCACGAGGGTGGACGCACACTGATTGGAAAAAGTTAAATAAAGGCATAAAATGAGGATCTAGACGACATCAATGAAAATGTCTGACAAATATGTGAAAAGTTACCGTCGATATCGTAGTCTTGATTTTGGAGATCCCATGCTGCTTTCTTAGTGATGACTTCCGAGCATATGATAGCATAGCTAAATGTACGCGTAGTCTGTTTAGAAGTAATCTAACTTCTAATAAACTTCATTAAAAAGCCTGATACTTGGAAAATAAAGCTACAAAAGGGAGTAGTACTTACCTACTTCAATTGCATCGTCTAGTCTTAACTCTAACGTTTGAATAGCTCGACCTTTTTTGCTGCATAAGGGTATCTTTTACAAGTGAAGCTGATCGGTTCCGATTTATCATGTAATTTTCCAAATTAATGCCTGCCAGATTTCTGCATAATCAAGTGATCGTCACTTTCACGACATATTGCTTAGCTACAGGTGGTAAAATTCTATGAGCGCCTGTGCATTCTTTCCTGAGTGGTCGCTTCTAAGGGAGAGATCGAATTTGATCTTATTTACCGTAGCCTTTGAAGTATATACACCTATTTATGGTGACACTGAATATTTTCAATCCTTACAAAGACGAATAGAGCAGTTGATGAATGTTATCATAGAGGTATTTCATTGGCTTGGCACTTATTGCAAAAGAAGCATTCATTTCATAATCCTATACGGCAGAGAAAGAAATGAAGGCCTCTCGAGAAACTAAATGAATAAATAAAACAAGCTATGGTAGGTTAATTTCTTGATCGTGAGCCATGACCTCGGCTTTTCTGCCTGTTCGAATCAACGGCGATGAAGCTATCGACTGTGAAACTATCTTTCTGTACAAATGATCAAATGCAGCCTTATCCTCCTTATTTTATTTTCACGTTAGTTTCAAGGTAAGAGAGGAAAAAACTGTCAAGTCAACACAGCGAGAGCACCTCAGTGAAGGAACAGAAAGAACGGAAAAAATGTGAACGGTGCTGCAGCCTGCACGAATGAACTCAGAGTAATGGAAAGAGAAATCGCGACCAACGTCTTGTTAGCTAAGGAATTGAAGTTTACTAGCATCAAATATCATTAGAAAAATTACCCTACCTAGAATTGCTTCTTGTTTTTCTAACCAAAATGACATAGGAGCATCTCCATACGAAGGCATATTTCTACCTTGTTTTACCTCTGTACTAGATCACAAACATCTATAATCGGAACAAAAGTGTGACGATCCGTGTGTTTGTGGCAAGGACAGCTTTCTTGACAACTCTTATGTGCATCAGAATATGGTCAAAATATTAGTGTAGCCAGCTCAAGTCGCTCGGTAATTGACGGTTTCAAAGGATTGACCCAATCACTTTTTCAAATTTAAATACAAAAACACCATAAACCTATAAATGTCTCCCATTGTAGTTGGTGCTAAAAGTGGATCGCGTATATGTTCTGGAGCAAGCCACAAGTTGTCTGAAATGCAGTTATATTTTGGTGTAAAGAAAGCAGTGCATGAGTAAGTCCAAAAACAAAACGAACTTAGCATTCAGTGAAAAGCAAAACCTACCCGTCTGTTCCCTAACTTCTTTCCTTTTGATAGCGTCCAGGCCGAAAAAGGTGACTCTAACCTGTAAAAGCTCAAATTTCTCTATGAAGCCGGCAAAGTCGATTACGATTAAAAGTGAGTTTTCAGCGAAAATGAGAGTAAAATATTGAGTTTGTTTTATCATGAACATCGATAGCCCTTGTAAACCAAGTCGACTAGATTTGATGGACAAATACATGATGTATCGAATCAGCAACAGTTTGTGATGACAGCAGTTGCAGAAAGTAGGTCACCTTCCATCTTTCGTCTACCAAACAGCTTTTAGAGCTCAACCATCCATGGGCTCCAAATGAAGAATGATGAAGAAAGTGTATGGCCTATAATCTTCATTCTGTACTGATTTTCTTGCAAAGCAAGAAGCTTTCAGTTTTACAGATCTCATCAAAAAACGCACCTGACAAATATCACGCATGAGAGAATACTTGAAGAACCAATCCATTTGCATTGTACCTTTCTCGATAACATCCTAAAAGGTATCCTTAGAGGAAGCGCTAGTACGCAGGTGAATACTGCATGCTTTACAAACATCTATAAGAATATCCCTAAGCCCTAAGATAACATCAAGGTCGACCTTCAGGGATCCACGGGAGCAATATTTCCACACTGACATGATCTGCTGCCCATTTATGGACAATCCGATGAAATCACAAAGATTGTCGTGTTCTGTGCTGTTCATCTGCAAGACGTTTACTTCAAAATGTTTTGGAATGTCTCTTTAGCTAGTAATAGAATGCTATAATATATTTCGAGTGAGGTTCTATGCTTAGTTGTACTTAATAAACATTTCCTAAAATACAATTAAACTTTTTTTGGCAAGAGCTGGTCTTCCATAGGCGTGAATCTAAGAAAATAGAAGGTAGAATGAAACATTCCTTTACTTTCGACTATTTACATAGACATAACTTAATAATGATTTTAATATGACAATCTGGTAACATGTTCTATGCCTTTTTGATGCCTGGTATGGCAATACGTATTAGAGAGCTGTTTCGTCTTTCCAGGCTCATCAGTAGTACGGTGCGTTTCGGTACAGCCGACTCATGAAGATGGATTTACCCCTACCTATAAAGGAATCAATGCCGATTTATTCAATCATCACATGTCGAGCGGCATAACAGACCTCAAAAAAGGCTCAAAGCATGTTAACAGATTATCATATGATTATTGTTTTTGAGCATGGTCTATACAAGCAGTTGAAAGTAGAGGTATGATTTATTCTACCAGCCATGAGCGCTCGACTGTAGTCACTGCATTGTCGGAGGATCATGTGACTCGACACGCGGTGATTCAAAAAATGCAGATTCCATTCCTTTTCAAGTAGGGCTATATTCCTTGTCAAGGATTGGTTGAACCGAAAGGCATCGTGTTATTAATGAGTCTGAAAAGACGAAACAGTCGTCTAGTGCTGTATAAGTGCCATACCAGGCCTCAAAAAAGGCTCAAAACATGTCACTGAAAGTTAGGAGGTTTTTTGTTTTGTAGCGAATATCGTTGAATGGATTCAATAACCGATTAATTTTGAAGAGTACTGCGATCTATGCAATGAAATGTGATGATAGGCCTTGCTGAACATGTGGATAAGTATTAATACGGAAAAAGACAGTGAGTCATTCATAGATCATATATAACTCATCGTTCCATATTTTGCCACTCCAATTAATCCCGTTCGGTACCTTTCTGAGTTGCGCGCAGTCGGCTTTGGTCAGTGCTATTCTCGCAGTGTGTATACGTGCAACCACCGACTCCTCGCCCAGAAGGTAAAAAACATGGCGATGCGTATCCTGATCGTAATCAGAATGAATTAATAAATATAGTTCTACTTCAAGGACACAAACCATTGAAGTCTTTTCCTTGTTCTTATCTATGTTTCTATTCATGTCATGTTTTGCTCCTAAGCATCTATTTCAAATTCGTCCAACTTTCATGTGGAGTCGCGGAAGAGTTTTAATAATGTAAAAGATTGATAGATGGATTACTCTGAAATCTAGTATTTTTACTGATTATTTCGCAGCGTTATGATGCTATATAAATAGCTAAGAGAACTGAGCGATGAGCAAAAACATGGCCTCAGACGGCAATCGAACCCGTGTTTCACCCATACAAAGGACTTGTGCTACTACCACCACACCACAGATGCACATTTGCGTCACCACCCATTCTTCAGCATTTTTATGTTAGCTATCAGCTACCAACCTCTAACAGGTTTGGAAGGATATGCGCAAATGTGCCTCGGGTTCCCGCCTGTGGCCATGTTTTCGCTCATCACTCAATTCTCTTAGGTAAATATTTGAAACATTGAGTTGAACTAGTGAAAGAATCGAGCATCTGTAGATTTGAGTAGGTTTTTACAGTAGATTTCTTAACGTAAAAATCTAGTTTAGTGTTGAACAAACCTTTCTTGAACTAATTGTCGCCTTGGTGCTTGTTGTAATCGCACTCTGTAGCGAACGCGAGCTCAACATATTGTTCTGAATTGCACATAATAAGGTTGAGAAAATGTAGTAGATTTCTTTAAGTCAGAACCGTATTCTTTCGAGTTTTATTAGTCCAAAATTCAAAAAGCTAAGACTGAAAACACTTCTCTTCTGATTGGGACCCCGTAAGATACTTTCATACTGAATCAGGCATGTTAGATCACCTTTGATCGGTTAAAATCCATAATTCAACTTTGTGACACAAATCGTTACTGCAAATATAGGCAATTGCGAGATTTATAAAATCTGATCACGGGTCGCCCAAATATAGTAAGTAATAAGTGAATATAATAATCGTTGTCGCATTGGAATTATCTGAGATGCAAAGCAGCATATTTTTCAGCCATGAATTCCGACTATCGAGGATGATAACCAGCGAACACTGTAAGTTTGCTACCACAGCATTAATCAGAGTCGATCAGTATGCACCATGATAGAGAAGACGGAACATCACAGAGCCCCAAATCCCTCTCAACCCACACAATAATTCAGAGCCGCTGTCTTATGACATTACGCAGGGTGTCAGCTGATACCAGTACTAGAAAATTAGTCCGAGTTAAAGTGTGATGTAGTCGGTTATTTTAAGACACTCTTTCTTTTCGTTCATTTGTGAATTCCTGAAACTTATCCAGAAAGCTTCGAGGGTTTTTCGAGTCGATGTTTTCGAATCGTGCCCTAGGATTCTAACTACTACCTCGGAGTCCTCATCGTTGTACCCTTGTATCCTGTGTGCAGCCTAGGGCTCTAGTTGGGTCTTTATTTGTTCTTCCGTCTAGGTGTTCTTTTATGCGGATGTAAAGTGGTCTGCCTGTTTCGCCAATATATTGCCACCACATGTCCTACAAGAGCTAAGGTATTGCCATACAGTCGACTTCTTTACCGTTGGGACATATCATACAACCCTTTGTGTTACATAAACGGTCATACAAGTGGTTCTGAACTAATTGACGACTAAACGTTTTGGAACGAACTTCCACATTTCCTACAGATTTTCTTAGACCACTGTTTTTGTAGGCATCTTTTAATAGCTGCGCTTACTTCGTTTTGCTATCAAAGGTGTGTAAGAGGTACTTTATTAAATCCCAAGGCCGACTATCTATTAACCTCGGCATAGCTTGAATAAATGAGTATTTTTCTCTGTTTAGCCGTTCCGAGCTGTTATTGATATTATTTATTGAATACACCTACTTTATTGTTATTATTTAGGTACTTAATTGTTTAAGCATGGCACACTTTTGTTTTCGTTGCAAGGCTTTTCGCTCTATTTCGATGTAAGGTTGGCGGTTGTTTTGTCGTACTCATCAGCAATGGCTATATTTAGCGCTAAATTTAGTAATTCCCTTCTTTCTTCATCTCTCGTACAAACACTTGCGACTGTTCGATACATGTTTCGGACATGCGCTTTTTTAACATGTGAGGGATGAGAGGAGAGATAATACATGAGAATATTTCTTATTACTTGCTTTCATTAAAGAGTGTCTATAATTAGTGAAGGAACAACTACAAGTGTTTGCACGAGAGATGATGAAAAAGGGAATAGCAGGGTTAGCACGAAATATAGCCATTTCCAATGCGTACGACTAAGCAACCGCTAACCTCAATCAAAAAGGAGCGAAAATCTCACAATAATCACAATAATGTGCCATACTTAAATAATAAAGTGCTCTTTACACTACCTTCCAGAACAGTAAAAGTAAGCGCAGCTACAAAAAAGTTGGGGAAAATGTTCTAAAAATGCTTGTAAAACATTTAAAATCCTTTCATCATTATTTGAGCCAACATGTCATGTGGTCTGGTAAGGGCTCTTGTACAGCCCGAGACACGTGTTTCGTCCTTACAGACTCATCAGCCGGGCAGAACCCGTCGTCTGTCAATCTTTCTATAGCCAGTTCTCTCGGGAGCGTCACACTCCTTATATATAGTTATCGACGACGTACGCTTTACACTCTTTGTCAGGTGAAACATTCACCTAACACAGAGTGTTGTGCACTCTATTGCTCATTGGCTGGTATTTTTATCATAATTATAACAACATTTACTTATCCACCTATTACACCCGAACAAAGACAAAACTACTAGTCAATGTACTCTCCTTCGACTTCATGCACTTCCTGCCACTTCTCCGGCAAAAGATCGATTCCGCGAGGTTGTGGTCACAATCAAAGTCTTCAGCCAGCATCCTAGTTGTCAAAGAGGGTTTTTTTTCAATCGCTCTAGGCACAGCTTGACCATCTACTTCTTTGGGACGACCTGAACGCAGCTCATCTTCCGAACTTTCTTCACCTTCGCCAAACTTTTTGAACCACCTGTACACCGTACTTTTGCCAACTGTGTCTTCGCCCCAAGCCAGATTGATGCAGTTCACTTGCACCCGTTGCATTTGAACAGAACAGCCAATCATGCATCATTAACAACCCTAATTTGCTCGCTTGTTAACTCTATCTTGAAATAAATAGATAAATCATATACCGTCAACGCGGAAGAAGACTAGCTTTAAAATAAGCTCAAAAGCGCAAAAAATGGCCGACACCCAGAAAAGTCCCAAGCAATTTCTGCAATTTCTCAGAATTTTCCCCCACCCTATTAGGAGCTGCTTACAATGTAGAAATCGTATAAATTCCTCCCAAAACGTAGTAGCGTCGATTGGCTTGTAACCGCTTGTATGACCGTCTATGTAATATAAAGGGTTGCACAATAGGTCCCAACGGCAGAGAATGTATGAGCTTAAGTACAATATACCTTATCTCTTCTGCACATGTGGTGACGAATACATTGGCAAAACAGACAGACCACTTCGTACCCGCATAAAAGAACACCTTGATGAAAAATCAAATAGAGACCCAAATAAGCCTCTATGGAACACACAGGATACAGAAGCATAACGATGGCGACTTCGAAGTAGTAGCTGAAAACCTGAGGCACGAATCGAAAAATTGGCGCGAAAAACCGTCGAAGTTTTTTGAATAAATTCGAAATCCACAATTGAACACAATGGGAGAGTGCCATAACCTAACAAACCAGACGACACCTTATCTCAGATTGATTCTAGTCTCGGTATCAGGTGACATCGATGTTCGATGTGACTCAATAACATGTGGAGCGGGCGGGTTCATACTCCAGCCTGCGCTAAGAGCATAAGTAGTCTCTAGTATAGATGAGACGGTGTGTGGCTTTCTTGAATAAAATATCGCTTACTAATGTCATAGATATTCTTTTCTTCATATTACTCTGCATAATTATATGAATAATGTTAACGTTCAGGCTCTGAGGAGGGCGACCGCCCAAAAAGTCAGCCACCAATATTTAAGACGATTTATCGAGCGCCGAGAAGGGCAATCGATCGAATAAGTGGTCCCAACCTCGCATAAGCTCAAATAAAGAGTAGTTCTTAGACTATTCTTTTCCTTTTCAGTATTATATTATTAACCTGCTGAGATTCAAGGGGAATTCTTTCGAATTTTATACGATGGTTTTATAATAATGTGAAGATGGCGACTCTCATACAAGAAAAGCGCCATTTGGAGAATATTTCTTTGCAGATTTTTTTACCAAAAATAATTCAAATAGCTTGATTTTCGGTATCGCTAAGTTGTATATTCACTTGTGAAGATTCTGGTATACAAGTTGCCTATGCATTTGCTTTAAGATGGAGCTGTCGCGGGCACAAATTCGCTTGCTATTCATGCACGATTGGTGCGTAGGTATAAATGCTAGTGAAGCGGCGCGTGGGATTAATGGAGCATGGAGCGAGATCCTTTTGAAAGTAAATGAAGAAAGACTCTATACTAAAATTCTCTCCAGAGAATGTGCAGTTGAATAATACCAAGATCAGCAATTTGTCATTGCAGAAATCTCATTAAATGACCAAAACTGCGCGAACTTTCAAATTTCCTGCTTGATAACAAGTGACTTCGTGCCGCAAAACTGATCGTAAACGTTATACAAGAGTGCGGTGGGAGGTTTTAGGAGATTTTGCCATACTCGCCTGTTTTCCCAACATTGCACTGCCAGGTTTTTATTTGAAATTACCAAATACAAATTACAAATTAGCAAATTTAAAAGGATGATGGTTTTCGAGTGCAAAAGTAGTCGCCTTCAAAGTCCTATAAAACCCGCCATATAAAATTCTTTCTTTACAAAATCCATCAGAATTAACAGTGTTCTAACTTATTTTTTAGCCAGAAAGAAATTTGCAAATATTTACTTTGACTATTATCATAGCAAAAAAAAGAAAAAGCGTATTCATCTTTGTACACCTATTATATGAAGACTGCACGGGGATTTCGCAACATTTTTAGCAAATGCCACAGAGGCGGCTAAAACATGAGTGTGATTTTTTGATAACTTTTAAGAGCTATTTGTAATTCTGAAACTAAGTTAGCTTTCTGAAAAAATCTTTCAAGAGCTCTGGAAGGCCAAAAAGAGTATTGCGTTTCCACATCCAGGCTCAGGTTTAGGCTTTATGGCGGGTTTACTGGGCAATAAAAAATGAAAATATAAGCTAATGCCTATAAAACGATGAGAAAAAGTTTCTTTCACAATTCTAATGTAGAAACTCTACAAATATATGCGAAGTACATGAAAAAATTCTCATTTAAACCACAAAATCGCGCCCTTTCGCGGGACTGAGATCGCTGCACGCAGCGTGATTCGAGAGGCGCAT